AGGCCATCCTTTTGGTAATAAAGAGGGCAAAGGAATTCCAGATTGCAGAGGGCCCATAGGTTGAATAACCTTGTTGATGGCCCTGAGATCTGTCACCATTCTCCATTTACCTGATTTTTTCTTAACCACAAATACAGGAGAATTCCAAGGGCTGGTAGATTCTTCTATATGTCCAGCATCTAATTGTTCTTGTACCAGCAGTTCTAAAGCCTGTAACTTTTCCTCAGCTAAAGGCCATTGCTTTGTCCATATTGGTTTCTCAGTCAACCATTTTAGAGGCAAGGCTGTTGGTATCTCTGAAGGGACATCAATTGCTTGTTCTTGTACAGCCCGAATGGCCAGTTTTCTCCATTTGTAATATCTTTTAATATTATTCTCAGAAATATAGGCTCTAGAATTAGCAGGAATGTTAATTTCGGTATTCCATTGTTGTAATAGGTCACGACCCCATAAATCCATTGCAATATTGGCTACATATGGCCTTAATTTTCCTATTTGTCCCTCTGGCCCTATACATTCAACCCATCTTGTGCTCTGCCTTACTCGAGATAGGGTTCCAATTCCCAGGAGCTGAACATTTACATTCTGAAGAGGCCAATACGGATGCCAAGATTCTGGGGTAATGATACTTACATCAGCACCTGTGTCCAGCAGGCCAGTAATAAAAATGCCATTTACACACACTCTCAGTTTAGGTCTTTGATCATTTATAGAAGTTTGCCAAAACACACGTAACTTATCTTTCTGATCATTATTGCTTGTAACAGTAGGCATGGGGCTTCCTAATTGTCCTGATGAGGCACGTTCTCTGCAGAAACTGGAAATGACTGAACCATGTTTGCCATGGGGGCCTGTGAGGACCCCCCTCTCACGTTTCCCGTCTGTATCGGGTTGCCTTGTCTATCTCTTGTAGACCTGCATTCATTTGTCCAATGTCTGCCTTTTCCACATCTTCTACATAAACCTGAAGGCTGAGTCCTCCTATTCCTGTTATTTCTAGAAGATGCATTATTATTATTATTATTTCTGAAAGATGCATTATTATTATTATTTCTGAAAATCCGTTGTCTAAAATTCCTTTTCATATGACCCATTTTGCCACAATTAAAACATTTGGTATTCTGGTGTCTCCTTTTACCATTGGAAATTGCTTCTTCTACCCATGCTTCAGTGCCATAATCAAATGTATCAACATTGAGTGTATGCAAGACCCATTCTTCCAAGGGCACTGATCTGAGCTTTAAAGGGCCCAAAATCCTTTTGCATTCCACATTTGCATTTTCATAAGCCAAAGACTCAATCATTATACGTCTTGCTTCTGGGTCAGATATCCCTATTTGTACAGCCTTAGTTAATCTTTGTAAAAAGTCACTAAAGGGTTCTCTCTGACCCTGTTTAACTCTGACAAATGATTCCATTCTCTGTCCTGGGTCTTGTACCCTGTCCCAAGCCTTTAAGGCTGCTGTAGTACACACGGAGAGTGTGTTTTCATCCAAATTAGCTTGTTCCTGAGGGTCGGAAAAGAGCCCTTCACCTAGAATTTTATCTAGGGAAATATCAATTCCCTTCGCTTTTTCCTGCTGTTCTAAGAGTCTAGCCTCTTACCTGAATAAGCATTTCCATTTCAATTGCGGTCCACTCTCAAATACCGCAGAGCTCAGCTGGAGCCAGTCCGAGGGGTTGCTCTGCTTGTTGTGGCCCAAGTTCTTAGCATCTCTTTAACAAAAGAGGCTTGCATCCCAAAAGTCATGACAGCCTGTTTTATTTCCTTGAGATCATTCATACGGACAGGCTCCCATGTATCCTCCTTGATGACCCTAGGGTTTTTGGAACCAATCACCTTCTCTGTTGTTATTACTGGAAAGGCAGGTAGAGCTGTAGGTAGAGCTTTGTGGAAATTGTCCCTGAGAGATTTACCCACAGATGTAGTTAAAATTTGCCTTTCTACCCTTTGCTCTTCTTCATCAGAATTTAGAAATTCCTCAATCTTTTCAATTCTATTCACCATTGCCTTCTGCAATGTCTGAATCTCCTGTCCAGAATTATGTTCCAAAGCCTTCATTGAGGATTCTAAAGTATGAAGTTTGTCCGTTAGAGATAACATCTCATCTTTGGACATAATTTTTATGGCATAAACCGTGCCTTCTTGTATTGACAATCTTTCCGTCAATCTGTCATAAGCTTTAGACAAAATCCGATTGTCACATTCAGCAGTTTTGATTCTCTCAGTTAATGTTTCATTTCCTACAGAAAGGGACTGAAGCTTACGATCCAAATCAGCTGTTCCCTCTTCCATAGTAATGAATTTCTCCTTAACATCAGCCTGAAGAACTTCAAACTGATTCTTGAGAAGATTGTTGTCATTCTCAATTGTTTTTAAGCGTCAATCTCTGCCTTAAGAATCCTGCATTCGTCTCGTAAAGACTTTATCATATTTCTATTATCAAACCATTTAGTGCCAATGAAAACTATGAATCCCAGAAGGATCCATAGATGTGGGGTGATAGACACCTCTTGTAAAATCTCCCACATGGTACAATTAAAAAAAAACTGTTAAATTCTTGAACAGTAATGTGTTCAGACATTTTATTTATAAAAGAAAATTTTTTTCCTGCAATGATCGGTTCCTGCCAGTGGTGGTCTCTGTGTTTTTGGAGCCTGTCCTTGAACTAGCTCTTGTAGACCAGGCCGGCCTCAAACTCACAGAGATCCGCCTGCCTCTGCTTCCCAAGTGCTGGGATTAAATGCACGCGCCGCCACCGCCTGGCTGGCCTTGAACTCACAGAGATCCGCCTGCCTCTGCCTCCCAAGTGCTGGTATCAAAGGCATGCGCCACCACCACCCGGCCAAGTCACTTTGTATCAGACCAAATCTGCCGCTGTGGAAGCTTTTGTTGCAAAACCGCAGGTACTTGAGTTTCTGCTAATTCAGGCAGTGGGGTTCTGCTCCAAACTTAGCCAAGGCAGGCAGGGAGGGGTTAATTGCTCTGGCGAGCAGGCGGGGCAGAATGGGCCTGTGTGGCCGAGTATGTCTCGGACTCGTCACTGGGGCCCGAGTCATGAACTAAAAAACAGCACACAAGAGGGTGCTGTGTTAGCTAGCGGGCTACCCGCTTGAGTCGGGGGCAAAATAGCCCGATGTTGGATGACAAAATGTAACGGCGTAAACGAATGCAGACAGATTGTAAAAATATATATACAGCTTTAATGGCGAAATAGACTTACAGAACCACCGTTCCTGCGGAGACCAGGAAAGCAGAAGGGACGGCTGGGAGCACAGTCGCCAAATTTATAGGCAAACATTAGCTCGAGGCGAACACGCCCCCCAAGGGGCGGGACTTATCCCTACAGGCTAATGTTCGTTCCTTGTCCCCGCTGTTCCTTGTCTTGGGTTCCTCCCTGACTGCTCCGCTCTGGTCTTTCTAAAGTCCCACTTCAGCCCTTTCCCCCCATGGTCTACAGCAAACAATAAGCCAGAACTTCCAACATTTCTAAAATTATACCGTGTGGAACTGGGGGAATGGTTTGGTTGGTAAAATGCCTGCCATGGCAAACATGAGCACTGAGTTCACATCCCCAGCTCACATGCTGAAATGGGGCCTGGCAGAGCCCATCCACAAGTGAAGTACTGGGAGACAGAGTTAGGTGGATCTCTCAAGATCGCTGGCTAACCAGCTTAACTGTATCAGTGAGAGATTCTCAGAAAAATGAAATGGAGAGTGATCAATTAAGACACCTGGCATCAGCTCTGGCACACACACACACATGCACAAACACATGCATACACATATATACACAAAATAAATGTATTATAAAATACAGTATATAGACAACATAGAATGCATTGACAAGTCAGTGCCTCTCTGAAAGAGCATCAAGAATTCAGTCCATTTATATAAATTTAGAAATTATTTTGTGAGCCTAGATCCATATATCAGGTACATTTTACCATGTTTTCCCTCTATGTTGCTTTCATTAAAGTACAACATAAAGCCTCATTTGCCATAGATGTAAAGTAGCAAAGAGAAAACAGAACAGACTTTGTTTTTTGAATTAGAAACACATCTTTTCTTTGAAGTTCTTTTATTTATGTACTACTCAATAGCTATAAACCTAAGCCTCTTATTAAAATTTCCATTTGCACCCAGAGAGCCACAGAGAACAAGCTTGTGTGCTATTCAGCCTTTATAGGCATCAAGAGATGAATAACGTCATAAATATATCTTGGGTTTGCCAGTCACAGAGCGTCTGTCCCTACAGATGTGATGTAGAGATGATGGTAGATAATCTACCCCTCCTGCTCATTCATGCATCTAGTGGTCTCCATGACAACGCCTGCTCTTCCCAGCTCGCCACAAACTCCAAACGGGTACATTCAGTATAATATTAACAACTATGCACAAATGTGTATTAACAGCGTAATAGCAATGACTGTCTACAGTCTTGATATTTTCTTACATAAAGTGCAGCTTAGACTAGACACACAGATGGGGCTGTGCTAGCGCTGGAAACACGGTCGAGTGACAGATCACAATCTTAACCGGCATAAGGCCTTGGGCTCCATCCTCACACGGAAAACGTGCAACATTTATTTCCCAGTCTCCCCTGTTCTTGGTAGCAAAACATCTGGGATGTTCAGCTAGGATGTTCAGCTGAGGAACCCAGTGGAAGTGTACGAAGCCGTGTGCTGGTTCCCTGTTATCAGTCTTGGTCTTATCTGATTGTGTGCATTCGACTTGTCAACCTTGAGGCTTGAACACAGCCTAGAGCTACTCTCTGGCCTGTGGAGGATCTGCGTTTCTCTCCACGGTCTGATCACCTTCCATTCTAGTGGGGAAAGAGTTTAAAGGGGGCTCCTGATAATCCTCTCCCTGTCATTCTGACCATTTATTCCTCGGTAATGAGGGCAGGAAATGTTGCTATTAATGTCGTCTGGCAGAGTTTACTTTCCAACAAACTTAGTTTCTCTTCTTTCCTACTGCTGACTCGGTGCTCCGACAGTTTCAAAGAAAGCATGGAGAAGTCGTCTTACTCCGACTGGCTGATAAACAACAGCATCGCCGAGCTGGTTGCTTCGACAGGCCTTCCTGTGAACGTCAGCGACGCGTACCAGGACCCGCGCTTTGACGCTGAGGTAAGAGGAGTCCTCTGTTGGAGGCTTGTCACAGTGCTGATGCTTTTTCTGGTTGAGGTGGGGAAGGGATGTCATGCAGAGCTGCAGTAACCAAGACAACAGACACTTCTGCAGGCCTGTGTTCTGGTTCCCAGTGTTGCCCACTGTAGACCGACTGCTGTTTGGGTCTGCCCAGACTTGTGGACAGGTGTCTTCAGTTTCCTTGTGAGGAAGAGTACCCCAGTACCTGGGTTGTGTTGTAGAATATTATTTTAAGATATGCTACATGTGTTGATGCCGTGGGACATTTGCTTTAAGGATGCAAAGATGTGTTATTTTCTTTTATGTTGGCTTCGTTTATAACATGGTAAAGCTGTGTTACTGCGCCTGTCTGAAACACCCGATTGGTCTAAGAAAGAGCTGGATGGCCAATATCTAGCTAGGAGAGAGGATAGGTTGGGCTGGAGCCAGAAACTAAAAATAGAAGGAGACAAAGAGAAGAAGGAGCAAGAAAAGAAGGGGCAGCCACCCAGCCATACAGCCAGCCACAGAGTAAGAGTAAAAGTAAGATAACAGAAGAAAAGGGGAAAACCCAGAGGCAAAGGGTAGATGGGATAATTTAAGTTAAGAAACAAGCCAAGCTAAGAGCGGGCATTTATAAGAAAGAACAAGTCACCCCAAAGAGCAAAGAGTCAAAGAGTAAAAATGGCCACCTGCCGCGGTGAAAATGTCATAAGGACGTCAATATCTGCACACTGCCGCACTCTGCTTGGAGCAGAGATTGCTGTATATAAGTCTCTTGCTGCTTCTCCCATCCTTAAGCTGAGAAAAAGGGAATGCTAAAGAAAAAATTACTGTGCATACAATTTTATGAAGAAAATCTCTTAGGAGTCTAGATTATCACTAATAATAAATGAATAACCCAAGGAGTGTGGTTATGCAGAAAATCGTAATTACCAGTTGTTAGGAAGTCACCATGTTTAATTAGCTGTGGGAGAGATAAGCGTTCCCTGACCTAGACCATAGCACTAAATTGGGTGTGAGTTGTTGCCGTTCTGCTCTTAGCTGTGCGCCATGGAGAAGGTCAGATTTTGGAGAAAAAGAAAAACAACAAATTAAACTGTTACCTTTCCCCCTAGGTCCACAGACTTCCTGTAAAGGAGTAGGAGAACACCCATATGCCTACCGCCAGATTTAGAAAAGATCAGTACATTTGAGTCTTTGTATCGATTTTCCCTGATCCCAGCTCCTGACTCAGCACCCCTGTGGGTTACCAGTATCCAGCATTTGAATTTGGCATTGCTTTGCTGTCCTGTATGGCATCGTCACACACATTAGAAATCTACCAACTCGGTTTTGTATTTTTATCTCTCTGAACTTCAAACTGACTAATGTATTCACCTGTGGCTTTTCCCCTCAACATCATATGGCGAATGCTGCCAAGAATGAGCATTGCATTGGAAAAGTGAGCCATGTTTTGTCTATCCAGTAGGTTTCTCATAGACCTTTGAGTTCAGTGTTTTGCTGATAAATCAGTAATATTGAATAATAATTTTAAAAAAAAATAAATATAAACGATGGCATGACTGTTCCTAGGAATGGAGGAGGAGGAGATTCAGTGTAGAGATGAAGGAGAACACAAAAAGGGGTGGAGACAGAGACATCTGGAGCATCCAGAGTGAGCCAAGCCATGTGAGGAGGGAGGGGAAGAGAGAGTGAAGAGGAGCTACTGACAAACAGGGGGCAGGCTGGGCCAAGAGAGCAAAAGGGGTAAAAAAAAGGACTGGCCAAAATGGCTGGATTATACAAGGAAGAACCAAGCGGGGGGGGGGGGGGGTGCGGACAACCCAGCCCTGGGCTAGAGAGTTCAGGGTAGGGGGTAGGGTATGCCAGCCAGGAGAACTCTGTGTCAGGTAGAGACTGAGGGATGTTTGGAGAACCTAACAGAGAACTTGACAGCCAGTGTTAGCTCTGATATGTTCACAAACACCTCACTAGTCGTTTGTCTGGGGTTTGAGACATATCTATGTGACTTTTCTTTTAAATTAAAAAAAAAAAGTTTTCAGATTTACTCGTTTAAGGTATATGAGTGTTTTGCTTGTGTTTGTGTGTATGAGAAAGAGATGGGGAGACCCTCGTACAGACCTGGAACCTGAGGGGGTCAGAAGAAGACATAGGATACCCTGGAACTAGTTTTATTGATTCTTTCAATAAAAAATAATTCACCCCATCAAACTTTGCCTGGCTTATCAAGCATAAAGGCCAGTCAGCTCTCTCATTTACGGTCATCCCTAGTGTACAGTGACTTCTGAGAGGTTCTGAGAATCTCAGCCCAAGCAGATGCAGGAAGAGGACGGTTTTGTAACTGTTGCTTTTCCTTCTGATGGAAGTAGCTACAAAGGGCGACTGAGGGGAGGCAATCCTCACTCCGGGTGCTGTAGGTGCCTGCTGATAGGGTTGTGGGGCAAGTCCGCTCAGCTCAGCCATCTCCTGCTGGGCATTCTCTTGGTAATCTTCTTAAATAGTTAATGGAGGTTCCTCCTTGTGGAGAACTAGCAGGTGAGCCATAGTGATTATCTGCCATCTGTATGACCAGAATCTCTCACCAGTGCTGCCTGTTGGTCCTAAAAGCACACGGGTGCTTAAGGCCAAATTTATTGGAAGCCGTGCCAGAATGCCATATTAAGTCGTTATGAAGCTGAAAAATGAGCTTTGAATTTGCCATTTGCGGTGATCATTATAGTTTTTTTCTTCCCTTTGTTTCAAGGACTCTATGATCCTTGAAAACACCTGAAAAAAATGTTAATATACGTGACTTTATTTGCTTAGAGTAGTATAAAAACACTTGTGTTGATCGGTTTTTGGGGTAGGCTTCGTATTTTATCAGCCATTATGTATCTTCTCTTAAGGGAAGTGGTGCCTACATTTGCTTCTAAAAACGTTGACAGGGATGCTGTTATGGGTAGCCCACTGGGGATGAACACTCAGACACAGCTTATAGACAATTGAAAGTCTTTATTCCAGCTGACTGGGATTACACTCAATTATTTGGGGACTTAGATGCAGCCTTGAATGTCCAGAGCACAGGACTTTTGAGGGCAGAAAACCCCTGACACTTTGCTCAGCAGCTGCAGAGAGGATTCACAGAAGTAAGTAAACAAGCAGTTTAACAGAAGCCAAGATAAGTGGTTAGCTGAGGGGTTTTCCTCACCAACAGGCAGAAGCTAAGATACATTAGCTATGATATCCTGTAGTTTTCCATGGACTTCTCCATCAAGGAGATCAAATTCTAGTTAAACTTTTCATGGCCTCATCAAGAATATAAGATTGAGGAAGCATCTTACCCTGTCACAATTGATTTTCTGCTGCTGTATAAAGAATCACCTTGGCTCAGTAACTAAGAACTCCCACTTCCCATAATTCAGCTCCTGATGACCTGGGAACGGCACCTCTGGGCTCTCTGTTCAGGGTCTCCCAAGGCTGAAGTCAAGGTGCTAGCCAGATGGCATTGGCATTAGCATGCTGACCAGATTGTTGGCAGAATGGAGTTCCTTGCCTGTTGAGTAAATCTCTCCCTTCACCTACTGGTGGTGGTCAGGGATGTCCATGGCTCTGAGGGGTGGCCCTCCAGTCTTGAAGATGGCCCTCTCAGCTCACTCCCCAAAGGAAGTACTCACTCCAAACAGCTGAAACAGAAGCTAAGATGATGTCAAGAAAAACATCACACAACCTCAACATGATTGTCCCATTGGTTTTGCTAAGGAAGCAACTGTCATATTCATGGACCTCTCCTCGTTCAAGGGGAAAGAGATAGACAGGATCTTCACAGAGTTGGGAAGGAGGTGGTATCAGGCAAGTATTTTAAAGACTACATAAAATGAATATATACAAAATTCCCCTGTCCCATAAAGCAACTTATTTGTCCTGGCAAGAAAAAATATCCATAAGAAATAAATGCAAGACACGAAGAAGTTCTTATAGAATTATATTTGCAAGAGTATCTTGAGATATACACATTGTTCTCTAATAAACACCTCAGATGTAGCATATACAAAGCTTTCAATCTTCTTCCCCCATACCGGTGTCTCTCTGTCTCTACGAAGGTAATTCAGTTCTTCCTAATGCTTACGTGAGGGATTTCACAGGCACGAAGCTGCCTTTCACTCCTGCTGGACAACTGGTTCAGAAGAGGGCTGCCTGGTCCCTTCTCACCACTTAGCTGTCGCTCATTCAGAATGGCAGTCCAAGCTACCATCATCTCCAGGCGATTTCATAACCCTGGCCTCCTGCTCTGACTCAGCTTCCGTGTGCCCTCTAAACTCTGTAGTTTATCCTCCTCAAGATAGCCAGCCACATTTACATTGTATTTCACATCACAGCTTTCACAAGCTCCTTAGTTTTGAGAGGAAAAGCCAAATGCTGTTATTTCAGAGGTCTGTAGTTCCCTGCATGATCTGGTGCACCACTGTCTACCCCGAGTCCTTACGAATGTTGTTCGAAATACACTGGTCGCCTTGTTCCTAGAACTTGCCACTCACACATCCACCTTAGGCCTTTGTGCTGGTCTCTCAGACGGCAGTTCTTCTGATATTCCTTGCCCTTCTTACCTTGTTAGATTTTCCAAATAATCTTAGCATTTTCTAATATATAATTTGCTTTTGCGCTTTCTCTCTTTATTTTGCTAACTTTCCCTGGGGAGACATGAGCAGCTATCTATTTACCCCATATAGAACACCAATAGCAGACCAAAGGTATGATTCTAACCACAGTATTTTAGCCTCACGTTTGTTTGGCGTCATGCTTCTGAATTCAACTCTTGAGATGGGCTTCCCTCTATTACATCATCTATGATGCTTTTTGCCCTTCTTTTCACACTAGATTTTTTTTAAAGGTTTATTTATTTATTAAGCATACAATGTACTGCTGGCAAGGAAGGCACCAGGTCTCAGTACAGATGGTTGTGAGCCACCATGTGGTTGCTGGGAATTGAACTCGGGACCTCTGGAAGAGCAGCCTCTGAG